ACGAGTGTTGAATACCCGGAATACGAATTCCATGAAAATCCGTACATAGACATAGATCCATATAGACCATGAAATTAATGTCTTGATCCAATGATCTATGATTGGAATTTGTGTTGAAAATTCTGAAGCAACGTTTGGTTAATTCAAGAATTCCAATCATAGATCATGATAATCCTTACATTGGATAGTATAGACCCGTGGAAGAAATTCATCCAGGGTTTTGAACACTGCTAGGGGGTGGAACCTGTAGGCGCAAGTAATACAGTCATAACATCACCCATGATCCCTGATTCTACAGGGGTTTTACAAGCGGGGAAGTCAAGGACACTGTTGATTACTGCTGAAAAATGGGGTCAAAATTAGGATAAGATCGAAGTTGTTCCTCCAATGCAAACCATCACCCATCAACCCAATGCCGAGAAATTAACATTTCAGAATTGGATCACCAGTCGGGCTCTCCGCCTGTGAGCATTCGACCAGTCGCTCCAAGGTAAAGCTTTGTGACGCTGCCCTGGGGGCAGTTGGAGTACATCTACGTAAGGATCAACAACTAGTATCCAACTACTACTAGTAGGATATAAATCGGAAAAAGTAGGATATACATTGGGGATTCGATGATTTCGAGATTGGCGGCAATCTTAAGAGGAATCGGCGTTCAAAATATGTTTCCAGCATCAAAGGTGAAGTCATTCATGGGGATGCAACCACTATGACAGAAATACAGGGGGACCAGGGGGATGTACTCCTGCGATGTAATGGGATATATAGTGAATATATATATATATATAATTATATAAAGCAACCGTGTGAGATGGGTGTGCCTTGGGCGATGGAATCAACATCTTTCTCAATTTTAGTAAAGATATTCACGTCATAGACTGGGATTTCCCATGCTCACTTGGTTAGTCCTACTTTCAGCGGGGCCTGTAGCACCATTAAAAGGTAGGACCTGGGATTTTGACGCATGAAAACCGACAACAACGGGCCGATGGGTTGAAGCATCCCCGTAAACTCAGCAAACATGTGGGGCCACTTTACATCCTCACAAATACCTACCGTCATAAGTTTCAGAAACCCAAATTTGGCTTTGGTTTCTCACTTCATTGCCTCGATGGACATGTGTCAAAAGAGGGCCTGTTGTGGACAGGTCCGTCACCTCCAAAGTTGACGCGTGCCAACAATAGCGCCGTCAATGTGCTGAAGGCTCCAGAGGGAGCCTCAGGCTGGCCAACTGATCCAAGTAGTGTCCTGGAACTCTGCCAAAATCTCCGGATAATAGTCTGAGATGATGATCTGGCCGTCAGTGACCGACTTAAGAGTACGGAGCTTTCCCAACTCACCAGTCCTCTCTGTTGTGATGAGAACACAATCCACTGACAATCGAGAATACTGCACTGCCGTCACAAGATTCTGCTCGTTGACAACGCTGCCGTGAATGTGGCTTACAATCACAATTTTGACGTAGGCACCAAGACTCTCAATCAAGTTGTGCAACCTTGTGATCGTCTCAACGTGTCTTGGCGGCAATGCACCCGCACATGGACGCGAGGACTTATAGGCGTCCTCTGACCTTCAGATATGAAATTTTAGGGGTCAAACAAAAGCAAACTACGGCTGATAACCAATTGAACTGTGAATGTTCACCCCAAAACAAGAAAACACCAACAAAAGCGCGGCTGCAGCTTTTACTACGGGCATTCTGGAGTCAACATTTTGGCAGTACATGACATAGTGTTGACCCGAAGGGAAGGATATATTAAAGATATGAAATAATGGGTATGGTGAACCTCCATTTTTTCAAGTATTATATAAACCATTTAAACCATATAAAAACCATATATTTGGGATGATGAAATTCCCAATGTATGGAAAGATAAAAATCATGTTCCAAACCAAGCAGCATAGCTTTCTGACGGTTGAAACCCCAAAATCCCAACGCTTCATCCCACTTGATGTTCTGATCATGGTGGCCCAAGTTATGTTTCTTGGTATAGTTCTACCCCAAAAAAACTATCGTTATATATTTGCCATAAACGCTACTTAACGGACTTATGGCTACCAAACTACCAACTTAGCTATCTAAATCCCATTATATAAATCTCATTAAATCCAATTAAATTGCCTTAGATTTCAATAAGTACCATTAAACAACCCATGATATTCCATCCTATTCAAATCCAATTCATTCCACATGAAATCCCCATAAAATCCACATCAAAAATCGACATCCTGGGCCCTCTTACGGCTTCAGGGCCAAAGGCGACTTCTGCCGTGCCGCGCCGGCGGCGCTGCCGCCGGCGGACAGCATGGACCTAAAAAAGCGTGGAAGGGAAGGGTGAAATTGGGGATGTTTGAATGTTTTTTTTCTGTGGGATTATAGGAATTGTATGGGAGTTTTATGATGTTATAGCTTTTTTTTAAGTTTTAGTGGAAATTCTAATAGAACTTTATGTGATTTGATGGGATTTCATGAGATTTTATGGGATTTGTCTCTGCCTAAACCATCCAAGTAGCCTTTTCTTCGGACTGTCTGGATGGTCTATATATCATTATAATATTATGTGCCTATGGATCGAAACACTTCCTTCTCGAAGGTACAAGACTTCAAGACACCCTAAGAAGGTGCTTTGATCAGGGTATACAGAATACATGATGGCCTTATTTGCATAGCTATTGAATTATTGATTCGGAACTGGATAATGACATATAACCAATTGTTTACTTACTGGCTGAAAGCTTAGCAAAACCCAAAACTGACTGGGTATATAATGATCTGCACTAGGTGCATAGATGGGGATATGTGTACAACCTGACTCTGAAACCCTTTCCAACATGTTAAACAAAACACTCCAACATGGGTATATATTATGTATAAGTACATGTACTTGCGGGATCAAAAATCATATGAGTATGAGTAGAATTAAACGTACCTCGTCTCATATGTGATATAAATAAACTCTCGAATACTAACCCTATAACTAGGGGTGAACTAACCCACTGACCGATGGTCCAAGAGTCCAAGCTGCTGTGGCGTCCCAAGAATGCCGAGACGCGTTCGGGCCGGGGAGGGTGTCGTTTGAGGCGTGCGATCCGCGAGCAAGTCTCTTGGGTTGGATGGTGGAGATGTGGTTAGTATCTATGGATATATGGTAGATAATATCTATAGATAGATAGTATAATAGATAGATAAATCATCTATGATGAGGTGAGTTCATGAGTGTTGACTTGAAAAAAACTCTTGATTAATCAATCTCGTCATTTCAGATATTGGTTCACTGCTAAATTCTGGCCACTGTTTCCGCTTGATTCCATGACAAAAGCTGACGAGCTGAAGTCGTGGCTGGCTCCCTGTGGTGGCGCGGCAAGCGGTTTCAATGCCGCCCAGCGGTGAGTTGTTCGAAGTATCTGAGCCGAAATGGAAATTCGTGAGGTGCCCCATTGCGCACAGCAGTCAGTTTAGATCACTTTGAGTTTGCAAGAAATCATATTATATCGGCATCACAGAAAATAGGCTACGATCAATGGGAATTCCAGGATCCCAAAATGGAGCTACGTTAGTACCATATAAGGTTGGCCATATTTTGTGGGGATATTCCCTTACATAGGCCTTCTATTTATAGGCCTTATATATGGAATCGGTACCTATGGCATCCTATGGCTATGGCATCAAAACCAAGTGATTCACATGGATTCAAACCTCGAAGTCCACTGAGACATGGAGAATTTACTCCAAGATTCCATGCTATGTTCCCCCATGGTCAATGATAGATAATTCTATATACTCCATAATATATATATATATATTAAGATTCCATGCTATGTTCCCCCATGCTTTCCAATTGTGGTTGCTATTTTCTTGTGCTAGAAATATGCTCTGTGTAAGAAACTACGTGGTGGTGAACCATGCAAAATTTCACATATGTTGAAATCATTCTTTGACAACCCATGGTGACAACCTGCGGCAACTTCGCAAAAAATACAGCAATTTCAGCTGTGTCAAAGGTGACCGACTGCAAGTAAAATCCCTCTCATGGGAGGTATATACCCTCTGGTAAACTAACGTAACTATCGAACATCACCATTTTCAATGGGTGAATCAACTACAAATGGGCTATTTTCCATAGCAAACTGTAACCACCCCCCAACTACACAGCCATGAAAAACCAAGGTTGCAGTGGGATTATCACAATCCATCCAGAGAATCCCAACCACAAACAGCTGAACAACGCTGGGTTTTGAACACTGCTCATATGTTTCATGTATAGTGGATATATATGATAGGGAGCAGATAGTTTCATATAGTGGATATGATAGATATATGTACTGGATATGTTACCCTATCAACTGCTCATATATATATATATATATTAAGATATAGTACATGATGTGTACTACTTCTGGGTCATTCTTAGTGGACATTTGGGAACTCCATACAAAACGAGCTGTCAAGTCATGTGGTAAACACTATGTGGAAAATAACATCCTAATTAATAAACCAATATATATATATATATATATGTACCATGGATTACCATGGTTTATTCATCCGGGGTGTTCATTGCAAGCAATACAAAGCGACTTCCACGGTCTCTTTTTCAACATCCCCTCAGGGCGCGATTCATCCGTGGCTTTCGTCCGCGGTGTTTAACGTGATGCCAAATGGCGTTGAATGTTCTTGAGTATCTGGTTGATGTTACCACTCAAACCAACTTAAAATCAACTAAAAACGCCCTTCGCAGGTGAGTGATGATGAGTTTCTTTGAATTTCTCTGAAGATGCGAATCGTTGGATCCTCTGTCGTTTGGATAAGAGTGACTTTTTGATGTCACTGATTTCATTAAAAAGGGCCTTCAGAGGCTAGTGCAAGGAACCATATGTTTGCTATAAATGTCAAGTGTAGTACGAATAACCCTCAACAGGTTTTGAATAGGTTCAATTTAGCCCTGAACCTCTAAGTGTTTGTTTTTCTGAACCGGTTTGGGAGTAGATATGTTATGAAACCATGTTGAAATCAAAGCGGTTGTCGCTTTATTGCATCCTCTGTGAGTGCATCGGACTCACTCTCCCTACGTCGCAAAGGACGTGGGCAAGATGAGCCTCCACGCCGCGCACAAATTGGGAGATGTATAGGTGCAGCAGAACATGGGTTTCCCCTTAGTGACAAGCTGAGCTGGAAAATTGTCCTATCGAAATCTTAACATTTCGGCCAGGTTAGGGTACCTATAGTTAAGATCAGCCAAAGTATAATCAAAATCCACATCCACAAAATATAATCTATCATAACCAATCCACAAAAATAATAAAAATCATAAGTTCCGGAGTTATCATTACCAAACTGAGTTACACATATCATATGATATCATAACCAATCCATGGATATCATAAATATCATAAGTTCCGGAGTTATCATTACCAAACTGAGTTTCATATGATATCACAACCAGTCCATAGATATCATACTTGGATAGTTGAAAAAACCATCCAATGATATCAAAAGGAACTGGTTGGTGGTTTTAATCATCTTGAAAAATATGAGTTCGTCAATGGGAAGGATGACATCCCATATATGAAATGGAAAATGAAACATGTTTGAAACCACCAACCAGAGAAGCTGGAGTTTCCCATATCCCACAATTATATTTTTTAAATACTTGATAATCCAATTCTTGATTTAAATATGGTATTGATTATTATATTATTCGATAACAATAAATCAATATAAATATAGTATATTTTTTTATATGATAACAATTATATATTTATTAATTTATCCTATATCATTCGAATGGATGACCTATCTTGGATAGTTACAATGGACCATCTCCCCATCTCCGTGTCCAATCTGGAGAATTTCCGTGGCTCCACCAAGATTGGTTAACTTCCTGGAAACGATATGGAAAAAGATGAGAAATCCTATGGGAAATATATGGAAATCATGGGCTTTAACTATGGATTTATAGGATTTACCCGGCCTGGTACACATACAAAAAAACATGGAAAAACACGATGTTTAATGGGTAAATCCACTATGTATAAATGGCCATGTTCAATAGCGAACTGTTAGTTTACCAGAGAGAACTCCCGAAAGTAGGATTTGTGATGGATATACCTAAGATCGGTTTATAACTTAAATACACAAAGTAGGATTTGTGATTATGCCTATAGTTCCATGGGATTGTAAACTAACTTATAACTGCTGGGGGCCCACATTGTGGATGGCATTCTTTCTGAGGTCCAACAGGTGCGTCCATGTGCTATGCCAGGAGCCCTGATCCAAGCTTAAGCGATGTTTTTGGGAACCAGAAATGATGGGTTCTTGTTGAGTTTACCACATCCGACAACTTCACACAACATAGAAAAGGATGCATGGCCACTCTGAGATACCCTTTTCTTTTCTTGTTTTGGTTCATATACCCGCATTGATATAGCAAACTATACGTACTATGTTATACTAAAATACCCACCCAGTTGGTTGACCCCATATCCAATCATAATCTCATTATACTCCCATTACTTGTTTGTTCTACCCCCATCTTTAACGATTAAACTGATTATATAAACCCTATGTGTTGTCAAAACACCATGACATCTGGATAAGTCATAATCATTCACCAACCCAAACAAACATGAGCCACAGACTTAGCGTTTCCCAGCTGCCACTTTTCTCCGATTATACTCCCATGACATCTGGGTTTTCAAACCACGGTGTGTTTCCACCTGAAGCATCACTGTCACCGGGCCTCTAAGCAAATCCGAACCCTTCGTGGCCCTCACTGACGGCCTGCAAGAATGAGTAACACCCAAGAGGAATGGGCTGTCCGTCACGTAAAGTGGTGGATGGGAATATGTGATGCACGTATTGTAAAACATGGAAACACTACTGTGATTGAATGCTACAAATAAATCTATCATATTATAATATTATTATGATTGAAGTCTTGTTATATCAATCAGAATCATATCATATCACATCATATCGTATCGTATCATAGTACATCTCCTGGTTGGTGGTATACCTACCCCTCTGAAAAATATGCTCGTCAGTTGGGATTATTATGATTATTCCCAACTGATTGGAAAGTCATAAAGTTCATGTTCCAAACCACCAACCAGATATCATAATACAATATAATACAGGTACCCTCTGGTAATTTCTTACATAGCTATTGAAAATGGTGATGTTCAACAGCTATGTACCCTCTGGTAAACGTTTACATAACTATGGAAAATCACCATGCTATTGATGGATAAATCCACGAACTAAATCACCGTTTTCAATAGCTATGTAAACGTTTACCAGAGCGTATACCATCTGGTTATTTAACATAGCCATGGAAAATCCCTCATAAATGGAGGTTTTAATGGGAAAATCAGCTATAAATGGGCAATTTTCCATGGCTATGTTAAATAACCAGCGGGTATATCTCCCTATGGATGCCCTCTCCAAGATCCAACCAGCCAACCAGCTGCCGGATATATCACGTCACCTGCAACAGCTTTTCGCGCAGGACGTCTTCGCTGGGATACTCCGGCAGATCCACCCTGGCTGGACACCAGACCGACGTGGAAAACAACGCCGTGCGGACGGCACCGTCTCAATTTTTTGTGGGTAAAGGTAGAGTTTCATGTTGTACATATATATATATATGTATATATATACTGTATATATAAATACTCTATAAATGTTATACAACATGAAACTCTACCTTTACCCACTATAGGTATATATATATATACAATGAATGGGCAGATGATCTATAAATGAGGATGTAACGAAATATCATTGCAGAATATTGGAGATAGATACCAAAAATATATAAAAATATGAGTTTTGATGATTTTTCGGTCTGAAAATTGGGACATTTGCCGCAGAGAGGCGACGTTCATATTTTTTCAGACAAACGCAATATGAGCCATGACGAAACACTTAGATACATGGCACCGATTTTGTATATATATATATGAGATAAACCATCCACGTAGCATTCCAAGTAGCCTGCCTCTGTATGATTTTCCAATGTATCAACCGAAAAAATACTATCCCAAGTAGCAAGCAAGTACTTCCAGATGCTGCACTAAACGGCCGGATCTGGTGATAAGGCTCCCGGCTGATTAAAGCACGTGTGTGCGGATGGCAGTCTGTCGCCACCTTGCGTGGAAAAGTGCGGCAGCGAAGATGATCGTGACTTGTGATATCTTCTGACATCTTGTGAAAAGAAAGCAGACAGGAACATTGGAACAATAGAATCCCTGTATTGCTGTTGTAATTTACACATATAGGTGATATAGGTGTGTCTACAGTCCGCCTGCAACCAAAAAAAACAAGAACCTACGGAACGAAGACGTATCCAGGAAACAACATAAAGAGAACTATCCCATCAGCGTCACAACCCTATGTCAATTATGTACCTACCCAAGACGTTTGTGAACACAAACAAATACCCCCCTTGACCACTTTCTCATAACAAAAACATGTGCAAACAAACAAATGAATCCCTCTGAAAATAAGGTACAGTACCATCAATTTGAATAGGAATTATCATCATTTTGAGCATCAAATATTGTAATGCCATGGTACAGTATGTCGTATTTTTGGACACACCCAAATATTGGTATCTTTCATTTTTGGACACACCCAAATCTGCTCATATTTTTTATGATCTTTTATGAACTTTTATGGCTATATAGTTATATATATAATATATATATATATATATCAGTTAAATCAGCCCATGGTTACTTTATGGTTGCATGTTGTATCCCCCCATCAATATCCATCAATGACATCCCATCAAATCATCCCAGGTTGACCGGATTTGACAGGGTTAACCGCAGCCAAGGGGGCCATAGGCTCGATGCAGTGAGAATTTCTGCGGCCCTCGCATGCCAACCAGCCCCTAGCCACGACGACACGCTGGAAGCTGGGTTTACGATGCAAACGCGAAAAATAATTTCCAAAAAAAAGTGCAAGAAATTGATATGTTCATCATGTTCTTTGCTTAGCAATTTACGAATTTGTAGCACTCTGCCAAAAGATGCGGTGAAGACATGTAAAAGTAATATGTGGTCTTGAAATGTCTTGAGTGAAAATATCTAGAAATGTCTTGAGTACAAATATCTAAAAATCACTTGAATGGTCTTGCATGTTCAGGTCTAAACATCCATCCAATTTGCAAGGTTTGGATTTTGTGCACCTAGCATGTTACTTTCCCCGACTAAAATCACATGCTTGTCCCTAGATTCTCCTTTGGAGTACGAGTACCTTTTTTATTTGTGTTCGCGGGATGTAGCAATGACGAAATTACAATTTACTAGACCCCCCAAAATCATATATTAAGGTGATGTCATGTCCATGTTATCATGTAATTCTGGGAGGTTCGTTGTATAAATACACACTCAGATATTCGTTGCCTCCTAAATCATCCCATTTTTGTTTGGGAATTTCGATGAAATAAACCATCCAGCTATTGGGGATCCGTTGTAGGAAACCTCCAAGTTTCCATGTGACATCTCACCATCTGAGTGCGAAAAAATGCGGAAAATTGCCCCATGAAGCCACCATGAAAAAAAACACTTTGTGAAGCCCAGCAATTCGAGTTTTATTCATCATATTTCCTGGTGAAATCGCATGTGTCTTCTATGTTTGATGGTTCAATTCAATCCATTTCTTTGATGATTGAAGCAAGTTGAAACTCAAATTGCGATGGTTCAATACCACTTTGTGATGATTCATGATGCCTCAATCGACATGTTTCATGCTTAAAACACCAGCTTTTATGACTAATAAATACTAATGACATATCCTCTTTCTTGTCATAACATCGCAATTTTAGCCGGTTATATAAACATCAATTAAAACACCACGTTTCTGAACACAACAAGACTCCCATCCTTCGCCCTCCCAGCGTTCGCTCACCTTAAAGCCTTCCACCGGCACCCGCGACGTACCAGTAGCGAACTGGAGGAACCAGGCGCGTTGCTCCTGGGGACTCAGGCGCCATGCCGGCTACGCAGGCGCGTGGGAAAAGGAGCATCCTTTTCTTCAGGTATTGTAATGATTATCCAGGGGTTGGTTTGCCTGTCCCATTTTGGGAATATTGGACATCACCTTATAGTAGCCATGAAATAGACCATATACCTAATGGTTGGGTGATGTTTAATGGGGACATTTAATGACCCATGTTATCACCAGGTAACCATCACATCATATAACACATATGAATTATAGAAGTCCCTGTTGATACTTGCCATGAAAAATGTAAACAGTCGACAACATATACACATGTATTTCACCCTGCTATAATTACAATACCAGCCAGATCAGGGCATAAATCATCTGAATATTGTAATGATCACTCGGGTTGAGTTTGGTATTATGGAAAAGGACCATCAGATTGTTTCTGGTGTTCAATTTGATGGAAATCACAATCAGACATGTTCAGTTTGGTATAAACTATGATTATATACAGTGTATATATGTATACGTATTAGTCAATTGGGATGATTATCCCAGTTGTCCCATATATTATGGAAACATTAAACAAATATTCCAAACCACCAACCATATATATATATATATTATAAACACTCGACAATCACAATGGTTTTCTAGGGGGTAGATCCACTTCATATCTCTGTTGCTTGTGTGATGGGTGTATGTCGCCATCAGATTCTGACCATGGCTGGGCGGCGCTCTTTAGCACGATGGAAGCCACTCCAATGTTTTTATGGCTTGTAACTACCCTCTGGTAAACTAACATAACTATGGAAAATCACCATTTTTAATGGGAAAATCAACTATAAATGGCCATTTTCAATAGCTATGTTAACTTACCAGAGGGTAACCATGAGAGGCTGTAGAACATGACGGAGTTTTTCACGGAGTTGATCAGATTTGCAAAGCCCTATCTTGAAAACCAACCACCATCATTGGATTGGTTTACAGTAAAGGAAAATCTACAGGAAACCATAGTTTTTACCATTAAATATGGCGGTTTCCTGTAAATTTTCCCGTAAACCAATCCAATGACACCGGGGAACGAGATAGTCACCACAATCCCAGCTTTCTTCCGGCGTCCTGTGTGAAATCACTCAAGACTTTCCAGAACCTGGCCCAAAAAATCGATGGCTGCAGAAAAAAAAAAAACGAGTTATACCAGTTATAAATGGTTATAAGTGAGATATAGTGGGATTTTTTGAGTGATGATCATTCCATTTTTATGGGGTAACTTACTGACTAACTTACTGGCGTTTTAGGTTCATAACAGTTGTTGGTACTTTTCAACTCACTGGGGGTTGCCTCTTGCTGGGGGTTAGCCCTCGATCAACTAACAATTGGGGACACATTCAGCCATGGCTAAGCTATAATGATCCCATTAGAAAACCATGGGAAAACCATAGGAAAATGATGGTTTAATGGGATTTAATGGGATTTAATGGGATATACCCTCTGGTTATTTAACATAGCCATGGAAGCCATGGCCCATAGAAATAGATGGTTCACCTAGCATGGTGGATCTTTCCATGGCAAACTGTTAGTCATAACCAGATGGTAATATGTTTTTTTGATGGCTAGATCGCCAGCAACACGATGTCTATAAGTTCCAAAAACAAATATATGGGATGCAATCAGTCCATGTTTTTTCTTCACGTACGATTTTTTTACATATCAAATGAATTTTAAGCGAAATGGGTACATCCAATGTATATTGATGTAGTATATGCCTCGCAAGTTGTAGAGTGAACGTATGAATTCACTAGTAGACATCACTGGTGGGAGCAATCCTCTGTTAAGATTCTCACAACATATGCCTGGATTGGAGGTGCTCCCGCAAGATTTCGCGATGTATTCCCTGCTTTTACACTAAACTAGCTGGCAAATGGATGTTAACATCTCAGCGAAATATGATATCACACGTTTTGACTGGTACCAATTTGGAGTGTTGAGCAATCCATGTTTTTTCTAGATTTTCCCTACCAAAACCAAGCATCAAACCAACGTGAACACGCAGGTCCAACGTTTTAAGCCATGATTGCAGAATAAACTGTTTCCATCTGCTTCCCTGAAATCAACTCAAAAACTTCGGTGACAAGGCGCCATTGAACTTGATCTGACTGTGGGGTGTAGTTGTGGTATTCCGTATTCTGCTTCAGATCCTGCCAGGTGGCCCCATATATAATGGTGCCACATCTCGCTGGATTAGAATCGTGCCGGTCTACAATGCATTATTCAATATATATATATAATATATTATTGTATATAATATATATTGTTTAATACAATATATACATATATACATATTGTATTACATATTATACATAATATATCATATATAATGTATGTAATGTATATATATTTACATATTATAAACTGTAATATGTAATATGTAATATATATAATATGTAATATAAAAAAAGGAAATATAGAATACAAATAATATATAATACTATAAATTAATATATAATAATATAAACTAAATAATAAAACATATATATATATAGTAATATATAGTAATATATAAAAATATATACAAATACATAATAATATATAATAAAATACAATAATATAAAATCTTATATTAATATTATATAATCATATAAATCTATATAGAATATATAATATCTAATATAGCAAATATATACAATATATAATATATAATATGAAATTGAAAATATATAATATATAATATAGAATATACATATATATAATAAATAATGCAAACATATATATAGTATATATTAAATATTTTATAAACTATATTTTATAATACATATAATAACCAAAACTATAAAATCTATAATGATATGTATATATATATATATGTGTGTGTATTAAGTATATATACATAGATTAAGTATATATATATTAAGTATGTATATATATATATATATTAAGTATATATATATATATTAAGTATATATATATATATTAAGTGTATATATATATATATAAATAAAGTATAAATATAGGCTATATATAATATATACTATATAATATATAACATATGGACTATATAATATATAATACATGAACTATATAAGTTCAGAATCCGCACAAAGACATTAGCGTTGAAGTTGTCGTAAATGTCAATCACCTGATGTCAACTGGGTGAAGCTTTTGGATTTTGCCTGTGCAATTGCCCAACTCCGCCAAGAAGGACATGTTGACTGGAACACACGATACTTGGGGCTGCAGTTGAGATTGCTAATGGATATAATCCTATGGTTATAACCTCTAAAAGTTGGGATATATATATATATATGATGAGCATACAAAGAACACTTATAACTGTAGAACATATTTTTGTGACTCGTCGGTGAAAGCCATCCGGTAAAAACCAAAAGATTCAATCTGATCGTACCAACCACACATACTTTTGACAGGTCAGCAATGAAACTGAAAAATGGTACAAAATGCAAAATTGAGAAGGTGTTTTTTTTGGTCCATGCCTAATGACAGTGAGGATCAGTGGTCAATCTAGACTTGAATCAAAAAACAAACCGATCCATTTGAAAATTGAAGATCCTCGTTATCCGAAAACATCCTAAAACCATCCGGGCATCTCCAAAAATGAGAGCACCGCAACATGGTCATCATATAGTGAAAACAGAGATAATCTAGACCATGTCGGTGAGTGCACCAACAGATGCTGATTTATGATAAATGTTGGGATGTTCTTTTAACCATTTAAGACTGAGATATCAAGGGTACAAAGCCAATGATCACCAATGAGTATGTGAACTAATGGATGTAAACGGAGGTTTCACCATCAAACATGGGACGACAATGATGATGATAATGTGACGTAACGGGTAATTACAACCAATGAGCTGATGATGATAAATGGACCCATTATAACTTATAAACCATTTCAATGGGAAAAGCATCTAAGAATATCTAAGATTTTTAGATCCCATCTTAATGCTATGAGCCATCTAAAATCCCATCATTATAACCATTTCAATGGGATTTTACCGGTGCTGGAACTCCGGCTTGGCTGGCTCGGCCAAATTCGCGGATTCGCAGAGCTATGAGTCCTCCAATCACTGCTTGGTGGTTGACCTACCCCTCTGAATAATATGAGTTAAATGAGTTATATGGGATTATTCCCAGATGGGAAATAAAAAAAATGTTCCAAACCACCAACATCCACCAACCAGATCACTTTTTCATTCCAACTTGTGGGCTTTTTCCTTCGAGATGGTGGAATTATCTCTAAATTTGGAACTCTTAAATCCGGTGGTTTTGAATCAGAGTCCATCTCTGTTCTTCCTGGCAGACTTTGGGGGTATCCACTTTTTCAAGGCAACGGCCCTTGCTGGGTCCTCGATGTCGATGTCAGGTAAACCTGAAATCAAGAGTTCCAACTCCTTGTCATCAAACAAGGACAGCCTTGGGCCGGCCAGAACTGACAGAAACTTCCTTTGAAAAGAAACACATCTGGGGATGTCAAGCAACCCTTGTACGGATGTCTATATAATACCGTATTATGTATATTGTGGTATGGGGGATAAAACCAACAGTGCACAAGGTAGAACCGTGCCCTCCTTGACCATCGTGATGTTGTGGAGAGGAACGGTTTGGGTAGCAGCCACGGAGTGGACGGCACTATGCGCTGACTGAATGGCAAAAAAAACATTCCTTCCCTCGGGCAATTCCTCGAAGGAAGGGCTACTGTAGCTACCATTTACTATCAGGGAGCAATCATTCAAGAATATTCGGCTATGGTTCACGATTCAGTTTTTCCGATAATGGTAAAAACCTTGGAAGACCTGAAACCCGCGATGTAAATTGGACGAGAAATGGCAGATTGCAGAGGGCGCGCGTGTTCGCAAAACCCATGTGAGCAAAACCTATGTGGGTTATATTCCTTTGATATTTGACCATGGCTTCAAAAAAAAAGGGCTACGACGAGTGGACCAACCAGTTTTTAGTGGTCCAAAAATAACCAAAAATCGTCCTTTTGGTATTAATGAATCCCATCACCCGTTCATATTCAACACCCCATAAGTGGTCCCAATGATGTGGAAATTCCCTGCTAAACCATGGTTTCTACCGGGGTGTTTAAAATTAGGGGCAAGGGATTAACCAAACCATACAAATTTAAGGGTAGATAATTTTGAGCCATAGACCTTTGAGTCGTGACAAAGAATCCTTTACCAGGTTGGTAAAGAGGTATCCCACAATGATGGCTTCGTGAATATCCACCTATAAACCCTGTAGGTTAATAGCCCACACCAAAACAGGAGGTAAGCAAGGAACCATCAAATATCAACTATATCCCCATGAATGTGATAAACCCAATGCAGTAAACCATCGCCCCCTGTCATCACCTTAGCCATGTGTATTTCATAAACCATCCCCAGCCATGGTAGATATTTATGGCTTATGGCATTGGGTTTACAGCATTATATAATTCCCATCAAATCACCATTACATCCCATTGAATCACCGTCAAATCCCATTAAATCACTATTACATCTCATTGAATCACCATTAAAAAGAACTAAATCACCATTACATCCCATTGAATCACCACTAAATCCCATCAAATCACCATTACATCCCATCGAAACACTATGAAATCTCATTAAATCACCATTAAATCCCAATGCGCAACAATTAAATCCCATGAAATCACCATTAAATCCGATTAAACCAGTTATCAACTGTATATCCCCATTAAGATTCAGATATTAGTTAATAACTCCCTGTGTTAACCCAGCGTGGAAAAATCTTGCCCAGATGCAACTGAGGAGGAACGATCTCGTGCAAGCCTTGTGCAAGATGCGGCTTCCGGCGTCCGTATTTTGGTCAACTGGGGGGCCCTTATGATCCCATACTTTAAGGTCATGCTTAATATGGACACAATGTGAAGGGTGCCACGTTAAGTTTTTGATGTTTCCAGGGGGTCAATGTCCTCACTTGAGCGCTGAAAGGTGAGTCTTGACAGCCCACAAAGAAAGACATATCACCACTTCCTTTGTCCAATCCCATGTTTCGGCATCAACCAAGGATGAAGTGGGCATTGCTCACTTCAAGGGACCTCAATCATTCCAAGGATGGGAACGCAAGGCTAGAGTTAAACATCAGAAATCACCAGCCATCATACATGAAGACCATGAAACATCCTGAAACCATATACCAAACACACATAAAGACATGTACTGTATATAAAGGCATAAAATCACCGTGCCGTGATATAAAATACCATCCAGAAACTCTGGTTTAGTCCTGAATCTGCTCATTGTGAGGGGGGTGCCATTTACGGAGTTTGTTATTTATAGGAGAGGAAAACAGGTTATGATGATGTACACATGATGGATTTACAGCCAGCCATGTTAGAACTCGGCCACCCAATCAGTTATATATATATACATATTATATATATACACATATTATATATATATATGTGTTCTAACCCTAAATTGGGATCATCTTTGCAAACAGGAATTGAATATGCGATCCCTGAGAACAATTCAGCAGAAAATGGCCCTTGAAACTTGACACAACACCTTGTTAGAAAATGATCTGAAAGGCAACATGCACCAGCACATATGTCTGAAAAGCGTGCAAATTTCTACCGATGCATGTGATTAGATATTATATTCACCAAACACAGAGTGTGTATATATATATACATAATGATATCATCTATAGAAGGTGAATGTGTGTATATATATAGAGTATCCATATTCACAGAGACATATAGGATCACTTCACTATATAACACACATAACCATATATATATATATTTCATACATGAACATTATATGTATAAATGTGTGTATATGCGACACTTTTACACATGTTTACACATGTTTACACTTGTTTACACATCCAGCGTGTCTCGCCTTTCAAGAAGTGCTCGATCTGCTGCTTCACGGAGTTGGTCCTGAAGAACCGCCGCCACCGGTGATATGTCCCATTTTTTGGTGCCGGGACCATGAATTGATACATGACATACAAACATATATATATATATATGTATATTAATATATATATATAATGTCTATCGATATGTACATATATATATATATATATTATAGATATGTATATATATATACTATAGATTTGTATATATATATATACACTATAGATAGATAACAACACACAAACACATATTAATAAATAACCATAGTAGATAGAATATGGGATTTTCGACAATAGACCCGTTTTAGTAAGTTGTTTGTTCAAGTGTCCATGTTCTGTCTACCGCAGGATGACTCTCTCTCTATATATATAGTTGGATAGAGATAGATATATTATATATATATGTATAGCAACACCAAGAAGGACAGAAACAGCGAAATCCAACTAAAGTAACATCATTGTAAATTACTCTTTTCTGTGTTTTTGCATGTGTATATAAATATATATATATATTTGTGTACATACACATAATACTAGTGGTGTATAAGCCTGATGTAACCCGCTAACTCGGATGCAGCCCTAAGTAATATAGATCAAGGGCTCTAAGAATGAGGGACGCAACCATGGATTATTGATACTAAACTAGTTTCATGACTTGGATGATTTGGGGGTACCACCCTATGTACATCAGCCAAGCAGTAGTATTTGAAACCAAAATAAATGGGGATAGGTCAAAAACTGGCTAGCCAGTTTTTTACTGGTCATTCTTAGGATCTAGAACTCTATCCATTTGTCTAGTTACATGGCCAGTCTTAGACCGGAATCCCCACTGAGTCAGCTGGGAATATCTTTGACATTCCTTGACCCATCAATGGTTGACCTACCTACCATTGGTTGGTAATATACTATTAATATATAGTTAATAATGATTATGATGATGATTAATGATGGTTAAGAATAATCTGGTTGGTGGTGCAATAACCATCTTGAAAAATGATGGAGTTCGTCAATGGGAAGGATGACATCCCATATACGAAATGGAAAATAAAAAATGTTCCAACCCACCAACCAGGAATTTGCTTGAGAAATGAGGCCGCAGCAGCGAATTTCTGGTCCATGAATTCGGAACCCACATCTGCCCAGACGTGCAATTAACCCTTGCCACCCACATGACCCTTTAGTAATATTAGCCGAGTATAATAGTTCTTCATGTTTCATAGTAACTACGACCATTGGCAGTCCCATTGATAGAAATTATATACGTACTGTAATACTATAATATTAATTAACCAATTTTGGATGATTTTGGGTTCCACCATTTTGGGAACCCTCAAATGAATTCAGCTAGTACCATCGATCGCGATCCGACCGGTCACCACTGGGTACACTGACATCTTGTGCTCCGAGACGAGCTGGATGTACCTGGGGTTGTCTCAGCATGTGTTAAAATCTCGTTTTGCCTAGTGGTGAATGACCGAAACATGGGGCATCATTTTGATGCAAACCTATGTTGAAGCCATTGGACATCTACAAAGCGCTTCAAAGATAGTTCCTCTTGGATGATTCAGATTCAGATTTCCCGGTACTACAAATAAGCCATAAATAGCATAGGAAATGAAGCAAATAAAACTTACTCCAGAGCAAATCAAACCAACTAGAAGTTAAATCAGGAACGGAAGGGGAAGTGGTTCGTCTCATCCTCATCATCATCATCATCATCATTCCATTCATTTTTCAAGATACATCTATACAAAATAGTCTTTCATGTGCAGTATTACATGCTGTTATATAACTTCTATTGGTCCAACCTCCAAGACTACTCCTGTTAGAACCTTCTCTTCCCAGGGGATCGCCACCTTTGATCCCGGCGTCTCTCTGTAAGATCCTTTAAAAATAGGGATGTCGCAACTATGGAGATTATCCTCCTATAAATGTGAAGACTGCAAATAGCCTCCCCTGCAACATGGAAGTGTCTGAAGTATGAGGCATACGCCCATTTGGCATCAGTTTCTAAGCAGTAGATTTAGCGGTACAAGTAGCCTATTCTTGAACAAAAAACAACGTTGAGTAATTGAGCTGTGTCCAAAAGGTCTTGTTCTTTTGAAGGCGCTAAGGGAATGCTTGCAGTACCCGGCAGCTCACACGCTGCTTAAGCGCCCGTAGTTTTAGCTTATGCGCGGGAATAGCTTACGCTGATGCTTACACACACCAGGGTTTTGCTTACGCGAGGTCCTTATTGCCACCATGGTTTTGGACGTGGCTCAATGGCTCAATTGGAATGTATCCCCAGTATGTCCTCGTGATGTCCCACATAGGCTGCAAAGGTAGTCAATGTAGGGCACAAGGTAGGGTCATCTCAATCGGTAAGTTCTTGTCTTCCTGTAGCTACAGTACATGGGTTTGTTCCAAAATGGGGTCTACTGCCCAAACAACAATGTTTTTAGGGAACATGATATTGGGGTATCCTATTTTGAGACAAACCCAACAGTGGGATTTAAGCTGGAGATCAAAATGTGCCATGGTCAAAACATGATGTATGGGTTAGGGTCATAAGTCTCATAATGTGAATCCTTGTAGTGGGTATACGAGTCCCTGTGAATGGGCTGATGGCCATTTCCCAATATGGGCATGTAGATGCATATAGTCTAACTTTTGATTCTAGTCGGTTAGATATCCCATCCCATCAAATGTCTCAATTCATCTCAACTATCAGTGCAAAAACCCATGAAAGGACCATATTCAGTAGTTAAACCTATCTTTTATCACATGAAATGACAGTTTTCAATAGTTAAACCAGTCTTTTATCCCATGAAATGACCATTTTCAATGGTTCAAGCCATCTTTTTGAAGAGGTTTAAAAACGGCCGCCGTGAAAATGGGTCACTCATGCTTGTTCTCGTTGGTCACCGGCAGAGTTCGTCCATCGGGTTTCAGGTCGACCACCTGTAGCGTAGCGACAAGCGGGACCTTTTTTGGAGCCAAAACATGGAGTTTAACCCACAGAAAATGAGGGAAGGCATTGGTTTAACTAAAGTTATACTAAAGTTTAACTCCAGGAAAAAAAAACACATGAAACATATTGAAATATAGGGGTCGTTTAGGATTAATGATCTCAAATTCTGAGGTGAAAGTGAAACCACTAGCGGGATTCAAAAGGGTGGTGCAAGACAAAATACGAGGTTCAAACAACAAGCGTGACATCTTGACCAACAAACAAGAAGAATATCTAAGCTTCATAAATGTGGGATGAATCAACCCAAAATTGAATGCTGAGCATTGACAATATCAACGATCAGGTGATTAAGCCAAGCATAAATTTAAATGTTTGAAGAAACTGCAAGTGCTCCAGAGCAAAGTTTAGCTTACTTGTTCATTTGCCACCTCCAGTAACAACGCAAACATGCAACCCAAAAACTGCAACACCACCAGCATCGCGAGAATCACCAACACCGCCAGAACCACAATCAATTAAGAACAAGAACAAAAATAAGAGCAACAACAACAACAACAACAACAACCACAACAACCACAACCACAACTACAACCACAACAACCACGACGACAACCACAACCACAACCATGATAACCACGACGACAATGACGGTGACAACGACGACGACAACAACAATAACCAGTAAAAAACTTACTATTGTATAATATTATATATATATATATACATGCGGACACTATTCTAACCACTATTGTAATTATTGTAATGTATTCGAAGGGTTCTTCTATCCATATGATCTTCACACATGTCTTTACCCTCGAATTTGCCGCTGTAATTGCTTCCGTATTCACATCCACCCGCACACAACACTTAGCCGACGAACTGCGCACCTTCATCTGTCCCAATTCATCGCTTTCAGCAGAGAAGTTGAGCTCGATGATGTCACTGATGTCCTTGCTTCACTGGTGGCTTCAACACCCGAGAGGGAAAACGCTTCCAATTCTCATCCAAATAGAGGAACGCATCTTTGAAACCACCAACCGTGAATTATACATACGTACAATATTATATATAATTATATATATAATTATATATATAATTATATATATATCATGTCAACCCCAGTTGAGACTGACATGTTGAGTTCCGGGATGTCATGTAGAAAAACATACGTTGCTTCCCCCAGTGACAACCCTGATAAATCTGCCAAGGTCTTTTTTGAATCTGCGTTGACACTATTGCAGGATAGCATCTGGGTCTGTCTGAACATGGGCTATACCTCCGAAACAAAGAGAACAAATTCAAATGGTGGGAACTATGATGCCGTAACTATTGCATTTTTAATGGGACCTATTTTCTGCCATATGGATACATATATGGAACATTTTGAGAAATTTGGGTGTTTCAGTTCCACCCTAACAGCAGCTCAGCTCCACTGAAGTTGCTGATTGGTTTCAGGCCATCCTAAAATCACAGAACATCCAGTACAAGACCTGGATTACTGGCTTCCTGGTTGGCGTCGGCATCGCCACATCCAACAGTGCCTCTGGACTGGAATGGCCTCAGCTCGCGCACGAAGTAGTACGCATTCTCCAGACAGGCCTGCTCTCTTCTGGCGGAAGCAATCCTCTTCATAGAGGCATTGATTTGTGCCACGTTGAGGTCGTTTAGCATGCTTCGGACGATGGCACCATCGATGTTAAGTACCATGGGTGGAGGCATGGCTGCCGGGTGGAACAGCACATGGTACTGTCGGTAAGCGAGATCCGAAATCATCACGATTGGGCCAAGCCCGGACCAATTGTCAGTCCAACGACTGATCACGGCTCCGATTATCAAAGAAGGAACTTAGATAACTTAGGCAACATGCTGGCTGCTGAGAATGCGTTGGTTAGGAAGATGCCAGGTGACAATTGTGACGCAATTTATTTGTTGCCAGTCCTTCCTGATTGCGTTCCGGTTCCGTCTTTTGTCTGGAAGATGAGTTTTCTACGATATATCCATTGGTCTATGGATGGTGGTCAACAAACCAATGATCCTCTGGCCAACCCGCAAAGAGTTTGGGAATTCATGGGAAGTCTAGATTGTGTCCAATCATTTTCAAAACAAACAAATACATCACAGAATGGCATCGCATGGCCGTTGCCATAGATTTCCTCCAACACTTCAATGTTCTTACTGGTGCTAAACGTAGGGAATGGATGGGAATGGAGGTTGCTGGGATTATTATTGATAGTTAGCCAGTGGATCATTCCCGAAAATTCCCGACGGACGTTTAGCACAAGTAAGTGCTTCACCAACCCCAAACGAACCAAGATTGGTTGATCTCATCCAACTTCCCCTCCAAATCTGAGGTCTGGACATGGTCCAGCATCCTCGGACGTCGAGTAAACCCAGCTGAACACGTCGCTTGGGCGTCGCTTGGGCGTCTTTTGGGGGGTATCCTTTAAAGGATTCCAAGAAGATCAAAACAGGCTACCCCAAACTTTGATGGTCTCTCCACATGTTCCCAATTTGGAAAAACGTCAAAATCTATCAAAATCTCATGTTCATCTTTAAAAAAAATCATGTCTGGTTGGTGGTTTCAACCCCTCTGAAAAATATGAAAGTCAATGGGTTTCGGATGACATCCCATATATGAAATGGAAAATAAACCATGTTCCATGGATTCCAAACCACCAACCAAATGAGTTTAATCATCCCATAATTTTCAATGTTGATTATTTTATGGGATGATTAAATTATGAGATGGAATTAATTAATCCATGATTATTATAGAATAAATGGTTACATGTTTAATCATCCCATAATTCCCATAATTCGTGCCATGACTTCCTGGCGTGGTTTTCATCCAGACCGGCAGACTGTGGCAGATCCCGGCAACCCTCGGCCCAGAAACCACTTGAGGTTGGAGAAGTACTCAGGATCGAAGGCTTCCAGGTCCGCAGGGATCACCTGTCCCCAAAAAAGGGCCCAAAAAACCATGGCTTTTCACCCAGATCTTTGGATGGTAACAAAATATGAGGTATACTAGGCGCACATGACACGGGACTTTGCGGCCAATTTAGCCGAGATTTTTTGGCACATGACATTGGATTTATGTATCGATTTTGCTATGTTTTTTTACACATGACATGGGAGTTATGCGCCGGCCTAACGGGCAGGTATTTTTCCATTTTATTGACAGATGACATGGGAATAAGTGATCAAATTTACACATGACATGGGACTTCCAGGAAGACACAGACGTCCAAGATGGGAAATGGCCGGTAAATTCCTTTAAATTCCTCTAAAATCTTTTAAATTCTTTTAAATTCCTTCAAACTCCTGAAAAGCTCTTTAAATTCCTTTAAATTCATTTAATTTCATGTGATGCAGAGGTCCCATGTCATGTGATTTTTTTCCAAGGCACTTTACAGATGACACGGGACTTATGCATTTTTCTGCTTTTTTCACTTTGCAGATGACATGGGAATTTGCGTTTTTTGGGTATGTCCGACAACTCCCATGTCATCTGCAGGTACTATAAAACCCCTGGAAAATATGGTAAAACAATGTAAAACATGGTAAATAAAGCTGGTAAAACATCTTCAAAAGCCACGGCTTTCTGGTAATATATTGTGTGTTGTTCTTGTTTCCCGGAAACTTTAAGGCGTAAATCAATGAATTGACCATGTACAATGTGGGATAAAGTAAAACAGTCCGTTTTATATCAAGATTGGATGGATGGAAAGTAATTGTTCCCTCAATTTTCAAGAAAAAGACTACATGATGAAGGAACATTTGCAGAAAAACAAACAACCAATATACAGTATCTAGAAGCACAACCACTTTTTTGTGTTCCCATGTGTTCCCTTTTTTATTGTGTTCCCGACAGGAAACAATGCTGCTGTCATTGATTTGATTGACAATGGTCAAAGCATGCAGCATATACCATATATCCCATAGGATCCATGGTGCTGGTATATATGCTAACATTGGGGGTATATTGATGGTAAATGTTACAGTAGCATATATAAAACATACATGGATCCTATGGGTATTACAATGGACTTAACATATAACCTTCTAGCATGATCTAGCATGAAATGAGTGACACCTCCAACCAGAACCTTGAACGCGTTGTTGTAAAAACGCGTGGCCGAACGGCTCAAAAAGCTGGTGCATAACAAGCCACGCACGGATTTGCTCAATGAGATCATGAAACAAGAACGCGTGGCTACACATTCTGGGCCTATTAGATATGAACTCACCAAATGAAATGATATACGAACTGAAAAAAGGAAACGGTGTCCGTTGATAACTATGTGTGTTCAATTTCGGTCTGTCGAAATCGTTGCCCTGGTCAAAACTAAAGACTCAAACATGTGTGGTATCTGTACCAAACGCGAAATTGGTAAAGGGGAGTGCCACCATTTTTGGCATACAAAAACTGCTAACATGTTAATGCTGATTGTTATATTCCGTAAATTAAATGTCTACAATTATAGAGATGTTCTGAATGATTTTCTCTGCCACTGAAGCCCCTCAGAAAGTGCCTTCTTGCCCAGCATGTGCTTGTAGAAACCTCTGGTGAACCAGGCTTCCAAATTTTGTCCGTCGTGTATCGCCTTGAGCGGTGGTTGTTCATCAAGGCCTCTTGGATTGCCCCAGCATCCCCATCATGACCCAGATTTCTGGGTGGAATTCCAACGAAAAACTAAAGGATTATCATGGCTGGCGAATCAAATATGGTTAATATATGGTTAATATATGGTTAATGATGGTTAATAATAATACTGGCGGGTGGTGTGTTTTAACCATCTTGAAAAATGATGGACTTCGTCAATGGGGTTTGGATGACATCCCATATATGAAATGGAAAATAAAACATCTTTGAAACCACCAACCCAATGGGTTTTACCACATTAGTTCCAAAAAGTTGTTGCCAAAAACGAGAGTCACTAGGTCCTAGGTATTTTCCGTGCCTGTAACCAAAACAGGGTCGTGTTGCAACGATTCTCTGGAATGTATCTGACAGGCAATTACAACCTGTCGCTTCCTAAAAGCCTCGATTGATGTCACCTTGTTAAATATGTTCCAGGGTTCTCGTATATTTACCAGCATTTACCCCAAGAAGCGGCCCATTCTTGTAGGTAGCTACACCAAACCTATGACTTGAAATCAGTGGATTTCAATCATCATCTCTAGCAACCCCGCCTTACCAACGACCCTTCCGATGAAGTGGAAGAATTGAAGGTGGTCTCGATTCACATAGGACCTGACTCTGCTACAACTGCGGTGAAGCCCAGATGTGGAACTGGGGTTTTATTTATATATATATAATTAACCATATAAAACAATAAATAACAGTGCAGTAGATCCGAATAATACCGATCACACAATAGTAATAATCAAACATAAGCAACGCCATGACATTGATAATACCATCAAATACCACTACTAATGATAACCCCTGTGGATCCAATTACTTCCTGAGAAGGTACAGAACACCCCACAATCATACCCCAAAAAAATTCTGAAAACGCGGGACACTTGGATCCATAGGGAATAAACATATTGGCTAAGTGTCAAACTCCAAACATCTCCAGCAAAACCCATTTACATACGACAAAAACACTTTTGTTGGGCCATTTGCATCATCATCCACCAGTATAGATCTTTTGGCTCCCCGGTGATCTTATCCAAGAGGATCTGAAGCCTTCCCTCACCCCTAAACAAAACTGTGGCCATGCAAAAATCCCAATCCCATTTCTCAGGAAGGTCCAGCATACATGGTTTGAATTGCGCCCCAAAACAAAACCATAAAACCAACCAAGTGATAAGGGTCTCAACCCTGATCGGTGATGCAATGGTGGTAAACAAAAACATTAATGGTCTCGGAATTGATTCAAGGGAACACACTTGCAATGTTTACCCAGATATTTCCTTTTATCTCGTTGAACAATCAATAGTTGACAATAGTAGAGTAATTACAGTAAAAACGACAGTAATACCAATAATCAACAATAACAGGAATCAACCCTAATTCACAAGAATTATATAAATAGAATTATAAGTAATCAACCAACAAATTAGTACGAAGAACAGTAGTAAACAATAATTCCTTGGAATTTCAGGATCCTAAATGGAGGTACTGTACCATATCTCTGGCCATATTTGGGGGGTATATCCCCTGAAATTTAAGCCTAAACACTAGGCCTTATATATGGTAGGTACCTCCAATAAATCAGTTCCTGAAATGACCAGTGATTATATACCAATGAATAACCATCATTAACCATTAACCACTATTAACCATTATTAACAACTATTAATGACCAAGGTTAATGATGGTTAATGATGGTTAATGATGGTTAATGATGGTTAATGATGGTTAATGATGGTTATATAACTGGTGATACTATTGACCTTCTGGTAAACGAACGCTATGGAAAACCACCATCATTAACCATTATTAACCACTGTTTGGGGTCCCATTATTAGCCATCGATTGCACCTTGCTTCCCCATTATAACAGACAATTACTCTCTGGTAAACGAACATGGCGAACTGGAAAATCAGCATGTTTTTTTTTGGTACATCCACTACAAATCCCCCATTTTCCATAGCGAACTGTTAGTTTACCAGGGGGTAAATAGTGGGATGTTTACCACCGATCAACTGGGGATTTCGCTATCATTGAATCATCCACCGTATCATGGCTATGGAAAATCACCACAGTGACCTCCTGGCTGCCAAGGCGCATGGGATTCGGATGGTAGGTACAGGCCTGCGATCATCCGTTTGTGGTCTCTGGTTCATGTAGAAATTCAGACTATGTATGTGTATATATATAATTATAATAATAACAATAATAATACTATATAATAAATAATAATAATAATAAATACGAATGATTGTTGATAATAATAATAAAAAATAATAAATAGTGTAGATATACATATATAAATATATATATATATGCATATACATATATATATAGTATATTATAGAACCAACTGTGTGTAGATAATACAAGTATGGCCTAAGATGAAACAACTTGAAACAAATTATTTGCGTATACTTAAATGGACATGTAGATAAAAAAACATGTATAGGGTTGGCAAATTCCATTTTGCAAATCATTGGTCAAAGCCACTATACACCTTCAAAATCAGAACCAACCGTTTACCTCAATAGACATGGCTGAAAAACACAAATTGTTGAGCTGCCAGCCTGACATATACATAGAAACGAGGCATCAACCCGATACAAAATGCAGCAAAGTATTGTTTGTGGGGCATGGATCAGCGTTTTTTCTCCCCAAAATGTGCTGGTTAGTAACAGCCTTGAGCCATACCAAGAGATTTGACTGGGTGGATGTACATGTTTCAGGGTTCGATGAATTCGTCAAGCAAACACATTTAGATCCGATGGCATTGGACAGCCATGGCATCCAAGCTGCCTTGATGACAAGGGCGAAAAGCAAAAGCGCAGCCAGCAAAAAAGAGACTTAATGGGAAAGTCATCAAACTGAATGAGAACTGTCCAGCAGGCCATGTTGGTATAGTTTCTTCCCAAGTCACAGAAATTAAGCTGATGAGTGCTACACGTTCAAACTATGCCCTCTACAGTACAGTACCCCATATCCTCTCACTTCCTTTTTCGTTGTAGCAGGCATGATACAAATCACTTTAAAGATCGCGACCCAGCCCCTTGGTGTGCTTCGGATGAACCCTACTCGCACATCTTGGGAAGCACTTAGGAGACAGCCACTGAGGGAATGCTGCAGGCGACGAACTTCTCTATCAATCTCACCCAAGACAGGCTCCATCTTCGACAGCCACAAATGCAAAAAAAAACGTGCAGTGTTTCCAAAGAATTCCAAAGAACACTCAATCATCAACATCAATGCATGCCTGCACCCGTCCCAAGTGCGGTGGCTAACGCCGCCATCTACGTGGAAGTTATACTTTGTCTTCAGAGGTCTGGTAGTCCTCTTCACTTCTGCAACGTAAGCTTGCACTGACATATATCCTGATGGATTCAAGAACCTTCTGGCGAAGTACTTGTATCATGTAGGTGGCGTTCCCTACCTTCTCAGGAAGTATTTGGATCCATAGGGCTCCCGTAATCTAGCCAACCATCAAATATCAATTGAAAACGACCCCATTTAATATAATAGTATTACAGTAACACCCCCAAAAGACACGAAAGTGCATTATCTGGGGTGTGATTATACAGTACTATTACTTGATACGTTATTGGGCCATCAGTTGCTTTACTTTGGGGGAGATCATGTTTATCCCATATCAAATACCAAATGTATTTGGTGGCACTTTACCAACTTCTATCTTGTGGGCGAGATGTTGGTGCAAATAACTAGCTGTATCCTCTGGTTTACCCTCTGGTAAACATACACATAGCTATTGAAAATGGCCATAGACATAGTTGATTTATCCACTCAAAATGGTGATTTTCAACAGCTCAGCTATGTTAGTTTACCAGAGGGTATGGTATATAAGTAATTGTTTGGGTGAAACTAAATCTAAATCAACTCTATGATTTCTGGGAAATTTGCTCAAAATCACACATCTGGGTTTGTCTGTAGATAGGATATAGCTAAAATCTATTTGCTAAGCATCAGTCTACACCATTAATTACATGGCTATTTCGGATTATCCACAGTTTTAAGACACACCAGAATCTGAAATAAGCCATCTTTGGCTCATGAAGTTGAATTCCCACTAGAACTGGCCATTAAAAGACCATGTTAGCCGATTGTTGTGGAAATCAAGCATCTTCGTGCTGACTATAGTATGCATCCCATTAAATATGTCCCAGTGAAGGAACCCCGCTTGTAGACAAGTTAGACAGTTTATGCATGATATATCCTGCTAACAGAGCCGATATATATATATATATATATAATATTATAATATATATATATATATATGCATAGGCATAGATACGTCGTATGGCCCGGTTATATCATGTATATATATATATATATCCCGATTATCTATTCCTCCAACATAATATGAGAAAACCAATGCATAGATAATGGTGAGATCGCCGGCCTTGCCACCTGCTTGCACGAAGAGAGCCTCACTACCAGGCAATGATCCGAGATGTCATACCAGCCGACAAGATACACCTCCTGGTTCTTTGACGTAGCTATGGAAGGTCAATGGAAATCATCATTATATATACATATATAGGCAAATCATCTATACATAGCCCTTTTCCATGGATTTCCATGGCTATCTTGGATAACCAGAGGGTTTTTCTGCCTGTTCTGAGCACAAGGTAATTACCCTACATGTTTACACGGCCATGGCTGATCTCTTCTCCCGGCCACCGTGCACCAAGCAAGGTGTACCGCTGACATCACCCCACTTGCTGTTTAACCGCTGACAATCTCATCTGGTTGGTGGTGCAACAACCATCTTGAAAAATATGAAAGTCAATGGGAAGGATTATCCCATATATTATGGAAAATAAAAAATGTTTTTCCTCGCGGCGGTCCGAAGCCAGGCTGGGTCACGCAACACAGGCTAGCGGAGTATGCCTACAGGTGAAGTCGGTCCAAGGAGCGTCCAGGGCCCGACGCTGGCTCCATCAACTGTGCGGCCAAAAAACCTTCGATATAATCATACTCACATTGAGTAATCCCAAAAGCCAAAGAACCCTTGAAGCAACTGATCCATTGTGAGGCCGGTCGCACAGTCGCCGTAGCAAACCGGACGGAGCAGTCTTTGAAACATTGTTGGAGCATCAGCCGGAAAAACTTGACCCGAATTCCCAACCGTTGATGGTTGGCCAACGCCGCAACAGCACCAGTTTCCACTTTCCAACAACCAGCAACCTTCGAAATGTTGATGGGTCCTTCCCTTCTGTGGAAACTGATGAAAAGTTGGTGAAACGAAATCCAACGGAGCGGGGCATCGGATGCGCGGATGTTGGAAATCCATCTGGAGACACGGACGAACAAATCCAGACCAAAGGACCGACGAAACGTGGCACCATGAAGAACCAAGGCATCGGGCATGTCCAACACGAGCTCAGGCTGTGCTCGGGCAATCCGGGCAGGTCGGGACACTTGGGGGGCAACAGGCCGCTCGGTAGCAGCAGCCTCTGTCCAAAACTTCGACACGGCCAGCAGGAGGGCTCTCGCGGCATCTGCTTGTTCTTGACACAAAGCAAGCTGATCGGAAAAGGCAGACCAGAGGGACCAAATCGTCTCAGGTCGGGCTTCGTTGGCAGTCTTGGCAAGCTGGTCGGCCATGGAATTGCCAGTGAACAGCCATCTTTCAAGGTCAGTAGCTGCAGTGGCGAGGCAAGAATGGGCGGGGACCTTCAGCACTTCGACACAACCAGAAACCACACAGCTGGCAAGGGACTGGATCGACCGCAACAGGTCACAGTGCTTGGAATTGGCCGGGACTGGGAGTTGGTCTTTGACATGCGCACAGAAAGCATCAATGGCACTCTGACAATCAGTCCAAACCCGGACACCTCGACCAGTAGCGACAGCAAACTGCAAGGCAGCCTGGATCGCACACAATTCCGCACGGTAGGCGGTTTGGATCAAGCCATGAAGTGGCTGAGCAGCCAAAGGGACAAAGTCATCGAGGCCAAAGTCAAGCTGAAATGGTCTGCCGAACACAACCGCCCAAGACGCAACCCGGAGGGAACGGTTGGTGGGAAACAGACACGACCCGTCTGTGAAGAGATCGAGGACTGCCGGGAGGTCCCCACAGGGAAAAAAGGTGACCGCAGGTGGGATGGAATCCAGGTACTGCAACCAGGAAGTGGCCAGGCAAGGGCGTAAAGTCCATCCATGCTCAAGGACAACAGAAGGGAGGGTGGGCAACGCAGCGAGGAAGTCCACGGACAGGCCATCACGGATGTGCTGAGACGCAGGGCATTCCAACAGCCGATGACGCGAGGAGTCCAAAGCACCGCATTTGCAACAAAGATCACTGCGTGTCGAAGACCAGTGCTGAGCATGAGCATTCGTCAGGGTGGCCCCATGGAGGTGTTTACGCAAGATACCCTGGTCATAGGGGTCCAGACGGCCATAGGCAAGGCGAGTCAACTCAACGTCAACATGTTCAAATCCACGAAATGAAGCGCGATGCTGGACCAGGGAGGCCATGACAGAAGTCCAAGCAAGCTGAAGGCGCAACAGAAGTTCACCAAACGGACAGGCCAAGAACCGGAAGGTACCAATGGCATCAGTCACACACCCATGGGCGCCTGGGTGAAACCCGACTTGATGGAGTCGTTGGCACAGAATCTCTGACAAGGAGTTGAATTGAGGCTCCTCAACGCCAAAAGGGCCAGCATTCAAATCATCCACAACGCTAGATTCGACTCCGAGCGCACGGGCATCACGGAAAGTTTCCAGGGCAGCAAAAACCAATGGATCAGTGGTAAGGCTTTCGAGGCCACATTGCAAAACAGGATTGGCACCAGGTTTCTGGAGGTGCAATGACTGCATGAGCTGTGTGCGCAGGGATTCGAAGTGCTTGCGACCCACCACGACTGCAGAAATGGCGTGCATCGCCCTCGGCCACGCCACACGAGTGACCAACGTGAGCTTCTGCCGGAAAGAGCACCAGGTGGACGCCAACTTGGACCAAAAGTCATCCAGGCAACGAAAACGATCCAAAGCAGTGCGGTTGGCCAACTGACGGGAATAAACAACATGTGCCCCAAGCTCTCTGGTGCCCAGCAACACACGGTACCCTTGGTCTCTCAAAGACTTTCGCCCATCAGCATGGGAACACCAAGTGAAGCTTTTCTTCGCATCAAGTTGCACCTGGAGCATGGCCGCAAACCGATCCACAGCGTCAGTGGCTTGGCGCATATGATCCACATTGTGCAGCAAGACCGCCCAGTTGTCGACATAGGAGACAGGTCGAAACAAGGTGTTGCAAGCGATCATCCATTTGTGGAAGAGCTGCGTCAGGATCAACATGGCAACACAAGACATGGCACAGCCTTCAGGAAAGCCATTATGAGAGCTGACTCCAGGGGACACAGAACCACGGACAACAAAGTGCCGGACAAAGCCACTTAAGGCACCAGCCCATGATACAAGGGTAGCCTGGTCCAGACCCAGCAACTTGGCCGCAAAGAATGCCGGTTTCCTTGGGAGCACATTGAAGGCCTTGACGATGTCGGCCGAAAAGCCGCAGATAGGAACCTGATCGCGGTGAGCAGCTTCGACCTGTTCCAACACATGACGCCAGACCATGCCAGCGCGGCCACCAACCACATTGCCACACAGGAAGGGATCAACGACCTTTGAAAGTTGGGCCAGCCAATGACGCGCAGCAATGGAACTCCAAGTGCGATACCAGACAGAGAACACAGTTATGGGGCGGTAATGGCCAACACACAAGGGATCATCGGTCTTGGCGAGTGACCGGACATAGCCATTGAGAACTTGCTGAGGCCAGCAACCGGTCTGCCCAGCACAGGAGAAAGTTCGAAGGAGGAGTGCAAGATCTGAGTCCAACAGGGCCAACAAATCAGCTCTGCCAACGCCATCAAGACCAGTAGCGGAACGGGACGACTTTCTCTGGAGGCAGCAACGCACAGTGCTGACTGAAAAGTTCGGACACGACGGGGTCATTGGCCTCAGGTGTTGGGCAGCAAAACCAATGATGTCATCCCATTGCGACTCCGGAACATCAGCATGTTTGTGCCACAAGGAAGTCCAATGCGATTCGAACGCCGAGAAAAGGTCAGGGAGAGACGTGGTGTAAGTAGTTTGGGAAACAACATCACCAACCCCCACATTGGCACAGGACTCGACCCAGATTTTGTCCTCCTCGGCATGGACGATGGACAAGGGACCTGAGGGATGAACGAGAGGAGCCTCAAGGTCCCATTGAACCGTCTTGTCAGTAACCAACGCACATTCATCCGGGTCAAGGTCAATGACAGACGCCTGATTGACACCAACAAGAGAGTCGACCTGAACTGGTGGGTCACGTTGAACAGAGCGGTACATAGCCTGTACATCAGAGGCTTTGGCAAGGCGATTGGCATGAGACCGAGCTGAACGCAGTGAGGCTTCAAGTTGGGTGAAGTCCAGCTCAAGTCCTGAGTAGAACAACCAAGCAAGCGATTGGTCCGGGGGTTCAAGCGGAACAGACACAGGTTCACCAACAGCCAACAACCTCTGCGACCACCACTCAGGAAAGGAGGGGCTGAAACCGGTGGCGCGGAGGATAGAAGTCCACAGACCAAACTTGTGAGCACGATGAGCCGCGGAACAAACTCCAGACCGAGACAGGCGGACATAGGATTGGAGTCGACGCAATTGCTTTAACCACTGGGCGTGTTGGATGCACGTCCCAAGGAAGGCAGGCTGCCTGTCTCCAGGCCGACTGGTCTTGACGGGGGCAAGCTGGCCATGACGCAATTGTGGCTGCCTCTGTTTGCCACGTCCTCCCATTGCCCGCACAACGGGTTTGTGCAGTCGACGCCTGGCGGCGTTGTTTTGAGCCTCCACTGCAGTCCAGAAGGCTTCATAGTCGTCGTCGAGGTTGCAACCAGGTCGGAACAAAGACAAATCCACGGGGGACCTGCAAGACGGGGCAGTCCATTCCATGGGGTCAGGGGTGGGCCACAGGAACCTGTCGAGAACATCAACACTGCCATCGAAGGAGCCGATGAGGTATGAATGATCAGAGAGAGATTCATCATCCACACGGCAGTCACGGAAAAGGGCAGCCAGCTCCCGGGACACGAACAGGTAGTCACGCCTCGTCTTCCCACGACAGGTAGCCACAGGGAGTTGTCCCGTACGCGCAGCATGCAAGTCTTGGATGTCATGGAATCCCAAACGCTCCATTTGGGTGATCGTGGACAGACGATCCAAGTCATGATTGAAATCCCCTGCGATAAACCGAGGCCCAGCAAGTTGAAGAACCCTATCAAGAGCCAAGCTGAGAAGCTCATCAGTGACGTCACGGCCATTGACATGGGTGGGACCGGTAGGCGTACCGTACATGGTGACCCCAGAAATCCAGACCCCCTTGGCACAAAAACCCGAACACAGCAAGCGACCAGAATTGTACGCAACATC